CCCCAAAACCCCAAAACCCCAAAACCCCAAAACCCCTTACTTTGACATAAATATTGAAAATGGAAGGCAAGAAGAAATCTTCAGAGTCAACATATCCGTGCTCAAGTCTTATGGAAGGATTATCAAAATTCTCTGATTTTGCCACAGCTAGAATTCCTCCAGGACCTCAATTTATTCCATTCAACTGGGCGATAAATTCATTGAAAGGTTTAACCGGCGTTTACTTATTCTTAATCATGCTGTATCATGACAACTTTTCCTTAGGCGCCTGGGTCTATTTCACTGTGCATGGTTCTTATGGAATGTTCTGGATTCTAAAAGACCAAATCTTCCCTGATTCAAAGTTTGGTGTAAAAATCACATTGATGTCTTGCACTCTTCCTTATATTGTGATGTATATCTACTTACTTCCCGGATACAGAATGCTATCAACTCACTCAGGTAAACTTGTACTCTAATTTATAGGGAATGATCCTTCAATAGGAAGAATAATAGCTTGCTATGTTTCATATGTACTTGGTATCTTCTTAATGATAGGATCAGATCTACAGAAGCATTTTTCAATCAAATATAACCCAGGATTAATCAACACAGGATTTTTCAAAATGACAAGGAATCCTAATTATCTTGGAGAAATCTTGATTTACAACAGCTTTGCCATTATCGTAGCCAGAATGGAGTTCTGGACAATTCTGTTCTACGCCTACACTATTATCTTTGGAATTAGAATGCTTGTTAAAGATTATTCTCTAAGCAGGAAGGTGGGATGGAAAGAATATGATAGTTACTTGCTCCTACCTAAATTTAGTACAAGCACAGTTGATAATATCGTCATTTACATGTTCATAGCCTTCGGGATTTTTTCTATGTATATAACAGGAGGAATACTCCCATTCTTGAAAGAATTGAAGAGTATTTTGATATATCAAGATTCTGAACACTTCTGTTCTTTAGTTCGCTCTTCAGATGCTTATGGATACTTGACTAATTATATATCGACTTATGTATCTCTGATTAAATAGATGGTATTGAGTTAATAACCTGCTTCAACACATAAAATAATTGTGGAACTAATTATTTCAAGTGTAGTCAAAATACCAATTCAATAATAAAAATAATTTGAGGGGTTTTGGGGTTTTGGGGTTTTGGGG